TTTTTTTACCTCCCAAAAGGGGCGGGGCCGGGCCGGCCCCCCCCCCCCTAAATCCGCCCCTGCTATTAATTAAAATAATAGGCCTACTAAATTACAAGTCAGAAAATGACTACAAAACATGAACAATTTTATGTATTTTACTTTTCATTTTACAGTTACTGACTTACCACTTACACATAGAATGGATACTGATGTTTCAAGCTTAGAGAGTGGAGTTAGTTATAAAAATCCTGATATCTTACGTTTTCCAAGTCATTTGCTCTTCATCTGTTCGGTTGATCTTTTTTATTAAGAATATTTTGTTTTCATGATGTACAAATATTATTATGCCAAATCTTGAATTATGGCCTGATTAGGTAAGTCTTTTTCATTTTATTCCTTATTATTTTCTAACATCATTGTTATTAATAATGATAATAAAAATAATAATAATAATAATAATAGAGTAATAAATATTAATAATAATGATGATGATAATAACAGTAATAATAATAATAATTAATAATAATAATAATATAAATAATAGTATAGTAAAATAATATATTATAATAATAGATTAATAGTAATAATATGGATGATATAAATGAATGTGATTCTGAGAAAAAGCGGGAATACATGAGACCTTATAATGACAGATTTCTTTGACCATAACAATGTACATTATTATGCCAAATTAATTATGACCTGATTGGGTAAGTCCTCTTCATTTTATTCCTTATATTTTCTAACATCATTGTTATTAATAATGATAATAAAATAATAATAATAGAGTAATAATAATAATGATGATAATAACAATAATAATAATAATAATAATAATAATAATAATAATAATAATAATAAAAATAATAATATAGTAATATAATATATTATAATAATAGAGTAATAATAATAATATTGATGATATAAATGAATGTGATTCTGAGAAATAGCCGGAATACGTATGACCTTATAATGACAGATTTCTTTGACCATAACAGTGTATGAATTAATTTCACCTATTTCTTAACATGTATTCTATAGTCAGGTCCATACCCAGGGTGGTTTGAAGGGTTCAAACGAACCCCTTTTTTAAAGAATTTCCCTTTTGAAAGTGTATGTAAAAATATCTAGAGTGACATTTTTGGGCATCTAAGGATCAAGGTCATGAAACTTAGTACCTTGTAACAACTGTCACTGGTGAAAATTCCCAGAATAAATAAAAAGAGCAGCTGGTCTATCAGAAAAATTGCTAATTTACCATTACAAAAAAATCAATATTGCCAATAAGAATGATAAGAATGGATTTTCCCATCAACCTTTTTACATGATATACAGTAATTACTAAAATTTGCCCTTTTTAAAAAAAATTAAACCTTCCCCCCCCACCCCCCCCTTCCAAACCCCCCAACCCACCCTTTACAAATCCTGGCTACGGCCTTGCATAGTGCCAGAGCAAATGAAAGGTTATTGCTGGTAATGGTAAAGTAGGCCCAGTGGAGCAAAACCTATGCACTCTCGTGCGGCGGTCCTCAGGGCCCCCGACCCCAGGGGCCCCAAAAGGGCTCCTAATTACATGGTCCTCGGTCTAGCACCCAGACCCAAAAGGGCTTTGTTGATACTTAACATAACAATGTGTCTCTGACATGGACTTATATCATATCCAATGGCCAATAAAAAGGGGCCCTAAATTTTTAAATTTTACTTCTGTGAGTGACATATCCGGCCACTTAGAGGTGCCGTAAATTTTCTCATTTCAGCCCAGGGACATAGCCAGGATTTTGAAAGGGGGAGGGGGGAGCCATTATGCAAGGTAGGCCTTGCATAGTACTGAGCGGGGGTTGGTATTCCCCTTCCTACGACTGGGGATGCCAAGGAACACAGTGGGGTCCTGGGGAGAAGCACGCTGGGAAGTAGCGCACTCTAAACGTTTAAGGACTGCTTTGAGAGAATAAAGTGAAAATTGCAATAGAGGCATCATAAATAATATTAAGCCTAACAATAGTTACATAGCTCAATAGTGGCGAATCCAGGAATTTGAAAGAAAGGTGACCCAGAAAGAAGCTTTTACAGGCTGAGGGTCAACCCACCTCATTTTCATTATAAAAATTTACGTGCCACTCCTCAAAACATTTTTTATCCAAATAGTCATAATCATGAAAATGAGCATGAAAAACAAGATCACATCCTGAAAACAAATGCCCCCTCCCCTCAGCAGTCACTAAGACATACCTTGAGTCAGGTGCTGACTCGATTGAGTTTAATGTCATAGCCAGGAAAGGGTGCAGATCTGTTTTTGTGTGCTGATGCATATTTACATATAATTTTTAAAAGTATTCGTTTTGAGTGATCCCAGGAAAGAATTTGTATTGGCTAGCAAGAACAAGCTTTAAAATTCTAACAGCCCCCTCCCCCAATATGTCCCTGTATCAGCCTCAACCATTGTGGGGCTGAGGTGGTATTGATCCTTTATCAGTGAAAGTCTCTCTCTGTGGGCCCAGCTATTAAACATTCCTGGATTCGCCACTCATACCATTTATTTTGTCATTAAAAACATTTAGAATGCAATGATAAACATAATTAAAAAACGAGCACATCTAAAATCCCACAATGGAATTGGCGACCAGGACCCAAAAGACCCGAAAGTCACAGGGCCCTGACCCCATTGTTACGCCACTGAGTAGGCCTAGTGATAATAATGACAACATATACAGTTGTACTGTTTATTTACAAATTCTACCAGACATAGCTCACCTGTAACAACCCAGCAAACATCAATATTTTCAATGAAATGCCCCAGGCTATAGCAACAACACAATGATTTGTTTTTATGGGGTTCAGATAACATTTGGTATGCCCCAATGATATTGAATTGTAAATACTGCTACTTAATGATAAATGTATTGATGTAATATTGTCGTTTTGCCTGTTGTATAAGGTCGGCCTCTGTGCCAATAATCAACCGCGGTTATGACGAAAACGTTCTTCGGTTTTACTTGACCGTAAATACAATAGTTTTTACAAAAGTGTTTGTACCTGTATTATATATATACTCATGGAGATTACAGTTTCCAAAATTAATAAGTGAGTATAGTTTATTTTTGATAATAAGTATAGTTTATTTTTAATAATAAATACCATTATGATAAATTAATTTCTGTAATCTATTTTTTTTAAGCAGCTCCATTTCCACTGTAAATTTCCATTGAAATTGTGACGCAGTTAGTTTACAAACGTTAAAAAACTAAGGCCATAGATATTTAAAGCACAGTTTTTACTGGAATTTGAGCATGATGTGGGTAGGTAAAACCTGAATTTTTAGATACAGCCTTCAGCTTCTATGACACCAGGCAACCTAATTCATATTTCATAGTAAAAAATTAGTTTTTTTATGAGTAGCTTTGGTATTTCTCTAACATACCATAGCAATTGAAATCACAGGTACCTGGGCACAATGCAATAGCCAGCTATTGGGGTGACAGTCCCACACAATTTTTCTAATAGGTCCACAAAGAATGAGCCCCAATTTTTCTTAAATGGGTCCAAATTATGTAATTTTATGCATAAAATGGGTCCACTTTTTGAAAAATGGGTCCAGATTTCTCATATTTTAGCTTTTTAGCTTAAAATGGGTAAAATTTAAGAAAATGGGTCCAGATTTTTCATATTTTTGCGTAAAATGGGTCCACATTGTTTGAATTTATGCGTAAAGTGGATCTACCCTGATATTGTCCCGCACTGTTTGAAAATCCTGGCTACGGCCTGGATGTATGCTTTACTCCATTTTGTGGTCAGATGCAAGAACCGTAAAACTAAAGAAATATATAAAATATTTCAGTATTTTGTGGAAGATCAATTGTGAATCTGAGTAGGCGAGGGGGTTTTAATGATAACTAAAACAATTTTGTGTAGTGTAAAAATTGGTCTTATACTGTAGATATAAATCCATGTCTCATACGCAGAATTCACCACAGAATTTAAAAGGAAGAACAATACAGTAATGGTATGTTATATAGTACAGTACATGTAGCAATAACTTATTAATGTTTCAGTTCATGATTGGTAATGCTAATTTACTGGCAAACACTGACTTTCCCCCTTCCCCAGCCCTGAATCTGCCACTGTAAAAAGTGAACCTTTTGAATGTTAGAGAGTGTTAGAGGTGTGTTTTCGCAGCTCTGCACCCCTGCTTATGTGTCTGCAGAACACATGTGTACATGCCCAAAACATGTACCTTGAGTACTAATTATATATAAAACTATACCTTATTACTGTGTGCAATTCACTTTATTTTGCCAGTCTTTTCATCTGTTTTTTTCATTTGTAGTATGCTGGTACAGGTGGAAGTGGTGGTACTGGTAGAGGTGGAGGGAACTGGTGTGGTTTTGATCCGACACTTTTTTATCAAATAGTCAAGATGTTGCTTTTAAAACTTTTCATGTTGTTGTGCTTTTGGTAAGAAAAGTTGTTTAATACCTGTATTGTAATATTAAAATTGATTTGATTTTGTAGCAGCCACATTAGCAAGCTAGTGAGTTCAGTTAACCCAAACACTTACCACAAACACAGCATTGGTCATACCTTACTCCAGGTAATATGTATTTTGCAAAAAAAAACTTCACCCTAGGTTTATCATACAGTTTGATTTTTTACGTACTAGTGGAATAGCACCCACACCCTGAATTAGCAGAAAAATTCATTTTTTTGCTTTGATTTTTTCCTTCTTCTATCCTGTTTTCCTGTTTTTGGACAGGCTTTTTCTGTCCAACACTTTGATCACTTTCCATGCTTGGATCTTCTTCAAAAAATGTCCAAGCAAAAACCATATACACCGGTCTCCCTCTAATTAAAGACCACTTGTGGGACCAGGGTTTCCATGGTCTTTAGCAGCCTTGGTCTCTAATTAGAATAATAATGATAAAGGACATTTGTTAATTTGGGGCCACAAAAAATTGGTCTTTACTTTGGAGGTAGTATTTAATTGGAGGGATCTTTCAGTAGAGGGAGACCTGATAAAAGATATGCATATCAAAATATGACATCATTCTACATATTTTGAATATTAATAAACAGGTAATTAAGCATATGTTAACGCCATTTCTTTTTTCTAAAGCATATCAACCTAGCTACAGCTAAGTTACACGCAAAATTATCATTCGAACAGTGAACATTTTTTGCCCCTTAACCTATGAATTTACGCAAGGTTGACAAACTAAATTGCACATACCTCGGCCGGGTTAAAACTCTACACATCTAAACCAAAACCACTGCAGTGCTGGTTCAAGTCTTAGTAGCATTGATTGATCTTCATACCATTTTTATTAATTTCATAATAATGTTTATACATATGATTTTGTTTTAATTTTGATATCAGTTATATCAATAAGGAAAAACCTTATGTTCTGTTTTCACAACAGATATAGTAAGTCTACTTATTATTATTATTATTATTATTATTATTATTATTATTATTATTATTATTATTATTTTATTTTATATTTTCATTTATTTATTAAATTTATTTATTTATTTATCATTATTATTATTATTATTATTATTATTTATCATTTCAGCTATACCATTTACTATGGGTACTTGTGTACAGGATTGTTAATAGCTGCTTTGGTGCTACAGCAAGAAATACAACTTCTGAATATACTGGCCACTATGCAAAACTGTAACCAGTTGACCTCAGGTAAAAGCACAAATTTGAAAAACACAGTAATAGATACCAAAAATAACACAAAATAAAAGATCAAACACAAATTTTTTACAATTTTATATGTTCTTTGAATCACTTAGAAAACAGTAAATTTTGGAATGAAAATGCATCAGATAAATAAAAAAACATAAAAAAACATAAAAGCATAAAAAAACTGGCAGACTGGTTAATACATGACCTTTCTGGTGGAGGTAATATAATATTTTATATTTATGTATTTACATTAAAAACAAATTGCAAATCTGAGTTGTCTTAATTGAAGTCTTTTAGTTTAATCTTTTATATTTTATTAATTTTTTATTGTCATTATCAAATAAGTATTGAATTAGATTGTACATCCTACTGGTTGTCTTTTCACTTACAGGGAGGAATGCTGTTCGAGAATCGGTAAGTTTTGATGTTGTTTTGCATCAACATTTTTTGGTAACCGAATGATTTATCATGTATACGAAAAACACTATTTTCACAAATCAAATTAAATGACATTATCATGGGAAAACAATAAAATCGTAGTAGTAAAAACGATTTTATCATTTTCCCACTGATATCATATACACGATAAATCATTATTGAATCATGCTAGTGTCAACTTTTATTTTTTATATGAACAATGCTTTTTAGCTTGTTATTGTTGATAGTTATCTTCATAGTGTGCACTTTTATCATCATTAACTCTGGTCTGTAAACAGCATTTTATTACCATTACAAATTAGGGTAGCATGTAACATATTTATACGTAACCCATAAAATATATATTTTTTATTATTTTTATGTTATTCAACTTTACACTGGAGACCGCAAAACATAAAAAAATAGAATTTAAGGACATGTCAACAGACAGAAGCACCTCTAAAACGATACATCCTCAAAATGAATAAAACTAAATATATAAATCAAGTAAATATAAATTAAATATATACCTATATTCATAATCCATAATACACATTTGTACACCTACCAACACCCATATTATGATTACTGCATGTAATTACTCATTATCAAAGGTTCAATTCTGCTTTACCAGTCTTTCAATCTTTTTTGTATGTCTAGTGTGCTGTACCACAAAGAGAAAGTAATCAACAGGTGGATCTTAACACAATTTACCCACTAGGTAAGAGACCAACCACCATGTTTTTAATTATTATACAGTACATTAACTGTATTGTATACTAACTGTGTTTTCAGAATTAGATTTGAAAAAAGTACATTTTGCTAGACCTACAGTAACTTGACAGAGTTGCTTGCATACTTGGTGTACATTTATACACAATTAAGTTAGGGTTTTATTCAGAAGTGGCAGATCAAGGGGTATGGGTGCCAATCCCCCTCCCTGAAAAAGCAGCTTATTTTCAATGTAAATTCTATGTACTATCACATAGCTACCAAGTCACATGCATTTGGCATATGAGACTTGTGTTTTCAGACCCAATCAATCACTCACACCATCCTCCTAAACACTGAAGTTTTTCTGAAATCTCATACTTGTTTTCAATAACTGACATTTAATTTGTAAAAGTCTGCTTGAATTATTAAATACTTTTTAAATGACTTAGGATTGCACAAACAATCATTATTATTTCCTTTACTTAATGTAGGCAGGTGATTTGACTTAATGTAGGCCTCCTATTAAAAACAAAATAGTCGCATGGTCAGTATGTATGATTCTCTTTTTCTTTTGGGGGGAGTAACTGAAATAGCACTTTCAGTTGCTAAAAATTAATATTTCCATCCTCAGCCCCAACCATGGTAAGTGCAGGCTCCGCCAGCAACACCTCCCAACTTGGTAACTATGGACAAAAATGTCAAAAACTGCTCACCCACAAATTTATAAATTTGGGAGAGGCCCATGTGAAGTGCAAATTTAAGTCTGAGAGGTATCATAATCATAAATTTTCGTACATCAGCCAGAACCACTGTTGCGGTCAAGGTGTTCAGACCCTCCAACTGTAGAAGTCTCTCCTTGGGAACACCCTATTTCCAAATCCTGGACCCCACCCCCAGCAGTGAAACAGATGAATCTCAGCACCACCTCCCTCACCCAATAGCCATAAATGAGGCCTACAGCTCTTGTGATTGACGCTTCACATTCAAGGGCCCGGCAATCAATCTTGCACTGGAGCACGTTTTTACCTAGCTACTCAGCTGTTTCTGCAAACATATGAAACATTAAAAAATTTTCTCTATCATTTCTCATTGGCATTGGCATGCAATTGTGGACACCAGATCAACAGCGGGAGCAGGGCCTCAACCCCCAGCGGACAGGTTAAGCCCCAGTCGGACAGAGACCTCAGATAGTATTTAATAAAATAAGGTCTCATCAATGTATACTTTTATAATAATCCAAAGCATTTGTGCGAGCAAAACAGAGCTGCTTGAACAACATATGATTGAGAGTTAGTGCAGGTTGAATGGATCTAGGCCAGATTTTCAAAATCCAGTTTGCCAAATGCTAGATTGCCGAGTCCACTTTGCCAAAACCAAGTTTGCCGAATGCTAGTTTGTCGACTTAAAAACCATGAATCCTCGTTTGCCGAAACCCAGTTTGCTGAAAGTCAATTAAAAGCAGTAAAGTATTACCAACAGCATAAAGTTCAAGATGGAGCAAACTTGATTTGTAACAATTCAGCTGTCAGCAAAAAAATTAATTAAAAAGGCATATAGGATAAAATGTCTCATAAGCTTCATATACTACTTTGAGTAAGGAGGAAATGTTTATCCAGACCATGTATATCTCTGGAAAAAATATATCGAAACACCATTCTTTTAAATGTCTAACATTATTGGCATATTTTGAGTTCCTATTTATGTCCATCAAAATATCGTAAAAATTTATTTTACAATGACACAAATCTACAAAATATTGGACAAGGACTTGTCATGCTACAAAAGCAGCACATGTGAGAATTCATTATTCAAATTACGTTAGTACAGTGCAGTGAAAGGACCAGCAGAGTATTCAGTATGTAGTAGGTAAGTGGAATATAACACTTCAGTGGGTGTGGCTGATAAAAACATGTATAAATGTTCACTAAATATAACAGAATAAAATATATGTAACAAATAAGGAATGTCTACATTCATCACAACCATTTTAGCATGTACTTCATAATTCAATTGTCTATCTTACATGCTTTAACATTATAAACAAAATTATTAGTGGCTCATATTTTTCTTTATTTAAAAGGTAAATTTGACATTAATTTGCTAAACTTTCTATAATTACTGTATAGTAAAAGCCATAGCAGTATTCAATATATACTTTAGAATATTCTGTTATATATGGCAATACTTGCAGCATTTGGCCGTCTGAGCTTCACAGAATGGTACTCCTGGGCGGATCCATAGGGGGAGATGATCGTCGACATCCAGGTATTCCCCTCCCCGCACCACCCTTAACATGTTAGAGTGCTTCTTAGCAGGCAAAAAAGTGCACAGATGTTGGGTAAAAATAGTCAGCAGGTTTTTTTTCTTTTGGGGTGAGAGTTAGGGAGGGTAATTTATGAGAATAATTTTCAGGCTAATTGTTGGCTTTTAAGATGGTAGGGTGGCAAGTCAGAAGAATGTTCCCCAATTCATTTAAACTTATGTCATTCAATTTTACAGGAGTTCCCTTCTTTCTGCACCCTCTCCTGCAAATGTCTGGACCCACCCCAGTACCTTAGAGCTTCGTGAAAGGGTTTCACAAGATTTATAATAAATACATAAAGTTTAACTAAGATATGTAGACCTAAAGGAAATAAATTTATAATAATCTACAATTATACACATGTGCCATTGTGGCTTCAGAAATTTGCCGAGGGGGGTGGGGGGTCTGAATCAAGGGCCAACCGGGCCAACCAGGGCCCTGGCATAAAAATTCCTGGTAGGGTTCGCAGGGAGAGATTTTTAAGGGGATACAATGCTTGATCATTCATTTCATTCCTAATTTTAAAGATAGCCATGTCTTCAAATGTGTTTTCCTACAGCATTGTTGTTTCACGATTACTGTATTTTTCCTTTTAGTTTGTATATAAATACAGCTCCCCCGTGACCCACCCACCATTTTCCAAAAGGACATTATGCTGAACTTTTGTACGACGGTGATTGCAAGATTCGGCAAATGAGTTTCGGCAAAGTGGCCGTGGACTCGACAAACTGGGTTTTGGCAAACTGGATTTCAACAAACAGGTCGGATACCGGCTAAATGCCTCAACAAATTGTTTAAACTTGTTTCCCAATCTGTATGTCTGTCAGATTTTTGGAAAGACTGATATGGGCCTATCACATGACTGCATGGCATGTGACACACATTGGCAGGAACCTTGTGGTTGTGGCACAATGGTAGGTGTTGAAATGCTACTCCCTTTTTGTAGCACCTCCACTTTAACAACTGTGATTTAGTTAATTTAGTCATGCTCTTACTGTTTTTCCCATTCATTTTGTTATTTTGTATTTTCTTAATTTTTAGAATTCTCTTTTATTCACTGTTTTTGCATTGGCTTTGGAGAATAATTTTATTTGATTCATCTTGCTTTCTTAATTGTGTTTTTGCTGACTGTGAATGATTCCTTTGATTTCATGCACAGTTAAAGTATTTTAAAACCATTTTCTTGTAGTATTGTTCCCATCTTCTATTAGTGCCATATATCATGCATTTTCATTAGTTTACTTGTTCTCCTCCCTCTATAATATTGTTGTTATGGTATTTTTCTTGTTTTAGTTTCATTAGATCTATTTTGATTCTTTTAATATTTTGAGTTTGAAGAGTGGATGGATGGATTTAACCCACAAAAGTCTGAAGAAGACTTATTTCCAGTGGGGTCTTCCTGGTGGTGATTGCACAGTACACTGGGAGACAATCCCCTACTGTACACTTTAACATGCACATGGTATGCAAATATAATTCATTTATAATATGAAATCAGCAGAAAAGTAATTAAAACAGTAGTTGTATATGTTCCCAATATTGTTTCATGATACAATGCTAATGAATGAATTAGAATCCTATGAAAGTACATGAAAAACAAAGTAAAAGAAATCACCATGGTTGAGGGTAAAAATTGACAAGATTGGTTTATACGAAGTAACACATGCAGTAGGCCTTACTGATATTTCACTCAAGGATCTGGGGAAAAAAAATCTGGTTTATTACAAAATTAAATTTTCATTCTCAATTAATCTCAATTTAAATTATTCAGAAAACCTCCGAAACAGAAGTCAAGTAGTAGAAGAACTTTAAAACAATAGAACAATTTCATTAAAACGGACAATTTATTCCAACAAAATTGTGGTGGACGACAAGAGTGTGGTGGACAACGAGAGTTGCTGGTACCGGGTACAGGGTAGCACAGACACAAAGGGACCCTTAGGGGCGAAGAAAGTCATTGATCGAGTTCCTAGTCCACATATCAAGCGCCCTGAGCATCTTACATTAGATGGATATGTGCGCTATATAAAACTACACTATTATTATTATTAAAATTGAACAAATTCTCAAAATACAAAATTCAATCAAATCAATAAGAGGTGAGAACAGAACACCACTCTAACAGATACAAGCAAAACAACATAAAATACCTAAACACACCAAACTAAGATGGGTTATTCTACTTAATTCAAAATTCTTTTTGCACTTCAATTTCAGTTAAAATATTACTATTATTTTTATACATACCTGTCGGCACCTGTTTACAAAATGATTTATATGTATTTACAGCATTTAAAAACATATCATTATTATCAATATTAAATAAATTAAAAATAAAAACATATTGGACAAAATATAAATATGAGAGCATATAATATGTTGTATACCACTCACTTTCTTTTCTTCTTTCAATGATAAATCCATGCTTAGTTTGAAATAAATTAAAATTAAATGTTATGTATTTCCACTGGCCATCCAAAGTTTCAATTGGTGTTCCTGGCAAAGAAACGTGTAAAATAGTAAGTTTTTTTTGTGTGGTTTCACTTGTTTTTGCAACAATGTTAACATACTGTCTTAAAAAAAAATTCTGGTAGACCAAAAAAGTCACAGAAAACTGCTTGTAATCCATGGTCTCTCAGCAATTTACAGTTAAAATTTGATTGTGATCAGCTTTTGGTATCTTCTGTGCTTACTAACTTTTTCATTATATAGCATATTTCTTCTTCGGTGTGTAGTAGTAGTCCTAATTTGAAGTGCAGTTGTAAATATCTGGAATGTGGCTTTACTAAAGAGAAATACAAAGGGTATCTACTGTGATTTACATGTGGAAAGAAATCAAACTTGGGCTATAGAGACAAGAATCATGTATAAACTATTATGGAGCAGATTCGCATGGGTAGATGGACACATGAACAGAGCAATAACAAACAAAAGCAAACTAACTGCTGTATACATATACATGTGGAAATTTGAGTGGTCAAAGATCAGATATAGGTTAAAAATTTTAAATACATCTTACTCCTCTTTTATAGCATCTCAAAAGCTACAGTATATCTCAGGCAAAAGCCATTTTTTACCTAACTCAATTTTTGTGACATCTCTATGGTAAATAATATGGTGTTACATATCATTGAATTTGTTTTATATTTGTTGTTAAATTTTCTCACTTTTTTTTAAATTTCACATTGTATCACTGTTTTAAATTATTATCTTTGGCTATTTATTGTACCATCTTTTCTGATTTATTAGTTTTTATTTTTTTATAGACTACCCTGTATATCATATAAATTATTGAATTAATTATCTGGGGAAATTTTTTATTAACTTTGTTCCTTTTTTGTATTTTAAAGAAAAATCATTGGCCTATTATTACAATAAATTGGGTTCAGTGTAAATTTTGTAATTGTTGCTATCATTAAGTTTGTCTTTTCACTTGTAGTAAGAAGTGGCCATACCATTCCTTTCTATGATGACCCTGTTCAAGAGTCAGTAAGTTGATATTCAATTCTTGTTTGTGTTTGTATTTGTTTTCTAACAGGAATACTAAAAAAAAAAAAAACAAATACTCTCATTATTCTGTAGTAATTAAGGAATAACTTAATGTACAAAAAAAAAAAAAAAGATAGAAAAAAGTAAAATAAAATTCAATTACAGAATATAAAGTAAATAAATAAATAAAAATGACACAAAATATAAGTTTATAAGTAGAGTAAATAACGTAAAAATTAAATATTGGTGGTAATGTTTTTCATTAGTTCAGTTCTTTCAGTCATTGCTTTTATTAAATATGTTTTACAATGGTTATCAAATATGTTACAAATTTCAATATTCTGGTATGCATCAAAAATATTATCTAAAAGTAAGTGGTGCCTAAATTCACATGAACCTTCTAAGAAAATGTCCCAAAAATAATAATACTAAAAAATACTAATACTAATAAAAATACTAATACTTTACTTATTCTTGGCTTATTTAAAATGAAAAAAAAAAAATGTGTGCATATTGTGTTTCTTATTGAAGTTGTAGGAATTGTGCAATTTTACTCTGATCTTAATTTCTTGTATCACTAGTGTGCAGTGCAACAACCGGTGAATAGTGGAGTGTGTGATCCTGTAGCTGGTGCTTCCAACAGGGCTGGTTTTGCTGCTGGTGATGGTGCTGCTACCGATGGCGCTGTTAGTGGTGCTACCAGTGGTGTTGGTACTTGGGTTAATTGCATGGATAAAGGTAAGAGAAACTTATTAAAAAAAAATTATTATACTTTCCTGCACAATTTTGGAATACTTGATAAAAAGGAAAGAAAAATTTATTTACATTTTTAGGCAGTAACGTTGAGAAAATTGTAATTTATTTTAAGCATGTAGGAAAGTTTCAAAAATACAATGACATTCACTTTTTCAGTGAAAGTCAAAGTGAAGTATGATTGGCTATGGTTTGAGGTCCTGGTGCATCCAGATTCCACCATAGGTGATTTAGTTCAGAGGGTAAGCTGATTTATGCATATTTTCACACTAGGCATATAATCCAAAATTGTTTTGATGTGTTAGTGGTCAACCCCCTCTAGATCAGATCACTGGACCTTAGCCTCTGTTACAATATAGTTATTATTATTAGTTATTATAACATCCAGTCTAGTGAAAACATACACAAAATAGCGATGAAGGGGGTGGTAATGCATACCTATTTTCGTTCTTTTTTACAGTTTTCAACAATACGAGCAATTGAGGTTCGTGACAGATCTTGGAATGTTTTGAAACATGACCAGGCTATTGGAGCAATTAAGTTGCTGTACTTTATGCCTGACTAATTACGACCACTAGATACATACATTATTTTTTTATTTCATGGATAAATGCTTCTAATTAATAATTTTAAATAGTCAGTTAAGACTTCTTTAGTCAAGTTGTTACCTTTGTGGGACATAAATAACAAAACATAGCAAATGTTTTTACTTCCAGCCTCATGAAACAAAAATGCTTCATTTTATTAATATTCTATACAAATAATAATTCCCAACTTCCATAATTAAAGAACATGTTGCCTAATAAGAGATGCTTTAACATGTTTTTAAGAGTGTAGAACAAATCAGATTCGTCCATAACTTTTATTTTAAATTGTTTTTTTTTAAGCCTGGACTTCCTTTCCCTCCCCATTTCACTGCTCCCTCCAAAATATTACGTTCTCAAGTATTCATGAGGTCACTATTATTTCCAATACATTATGTTAATAATCAACTGAATGATGCATGATTATTACAGTATACAGTATTACTGTACACAGAGTACATTTACAGTATTTGTTGAAAAAAACATTAATTAATACAGTAATGCTTACCAATACTATTTGATGTTATGTTTTAAAAAACATCTGATGTGTGTTATGATCAAATTATATGTGCTAATTTATTTTTGGGTAATTATGAATTTTTTTTGCATTGATTGCTGCCACTGTAAAATATCAAAATTTGATGCAATGTTGATGAATTAATCTTTTGATTACAGTAGATCAAATTGTAGATTGAATTTTTTCATTAAATGATTACTTTGCATGTTATGATTGTATGCAAATATTTCTTGCAATGAAAGTGGTCATGCTAACTTGTAAGACTTTACATCAAATACTATATTTTTATACATGTTATCTTTTACATTTATCACAATACAAAGCATATTAGACACCTTAAAGCACAATGTAGCAAAAGTGTTGAAAAATGGATGTGTGTAGCTCGTCTACCCTCGTTATTCCAGGCAGATGCTAATCATTTGTAAAAAAGAATATTTAAACTAAGCATAATGCCGTACATATACAGTAAGTCTTGAAGCACAAACTGGTAACATCAAGCTTTCACCATAAAATGTCAATACAAAATCAAATCAAAAATTCAATTCAGCCCTCCATCCCATTTCTATGCCCACCCCTGCCCTAAGTAGAGTATACTGTGGTTAAAAAATTATGAGTTAAAAAAAAAAATAACAGGAAAAACAACAACTGGTAGCATTTCTCTTGTTGGCTAGATCTGAGAAGAGGGATCAGACAAGAATGAAAATCTGGCCCACTTTGGGACAATTGGGGAAATACAGCCATGTCAATAAAAATGTTGGTTTACAAAACCCACTATTAATTTCCATATTTGGAAAAAATAAACTTTGACCTTGATATTGACAACTCTACACATGATAATGTACATACAGTACCATACAGTAATTAATTTCAAGTTTTAAAGAAAGAAAGGGGGGGGGGGGGTTGCTGTTGAACTTTATAAGATGCAGGTGTCATGATCTTTTTACAGTACATACCACTGGCCAGTATGCAACTTCTTGGGAATAGGAAAATTACAGGGAAGGTAAAATGATGACTTTAGGATTGACAGTTGTGTGCCTTCTGACGGAAGACAGACTGGTAAGATCAGGGTCATGTTATAAATATTATTATTATTTTTTATATATTCGAATCGTTACCAGTAGTTCCACTGATTATTTTGAGATCTTAGTATGACAGAAACTCCAAAAAGACATGCCTACACCAATACAAATGTTGGTCAAAACCATTTATTGAATTGATTATTATGACAATGTAAGAAAAAAATCATTTGAATATTCATGATTTACTAATAGTGACATGTAGAAAAGTTTCACTTATGACTACAACAGTGACGTCCAATAAACATGAATATTCATGTTGTTATCAACAGGCACTATTGTGCACTGTGTACCTCCTGTATTGATCAGTTGAGTTTATTTCATTTTTTGCATCATTACATTACAGTACAGTACATGATCATCGACACTACAATTTCTTTCAGAGGAAGGCAGAAAAAAAAAATTGCCATAAGCATCCAGATGGACGCGAAAATAAGAATAAAGTTTTATTGAATGTTAACAGTATAGTAATGAGTTGGTTTAATGCTTTAAATTTTTATTATTAAGAAATATACACATTTTTTTTTTAATTTCAAGGCAGTGGTGGGAATATTAAAAAAAGAAAAAAAACTTGCAGTACTTTCTTCTAAAATGTCTATTTTTTTTTGTGGTGGTGGGTATGCACTAATTGGCCAAAAATAAATAAATGTTATTTTTATTAAAATCATCATTATTGGTGGGTGGCGAGTTTGCTAGGTATTAAAAGAGTCTCACCTAATTGGGAACGGCTAATTTTATATGAATATTTGGAAATTTAAAAACTGGGTAAACTGGGTTATTATTACCTCAAGTTTCTCCAGATATTAACAAATTTTTTTTTTTTTTTCTCCAGAGCTTTGCTTGAAAGCCAATTATTTTTATACTCAACAAAGCAATATGGTAATAATGTTTGATATTTATATAGCACTTTTAACAACTGGCAGATCAAGGATACATAATTATGCTGCACAAAAGAAGTTGAATTGCGCCTTTGTCAACAACACCTCATAAATATTTGACTTCATGATTTTGCTCATGACCATAACACTACATTACATAAACATAACACTCATTGTGAATATTCATGAATGACTGGTGGTCAATAGAAAGAGAATCACTAATGGGATATGATTTTTTTTTAAATTACACTTACAGTATTATGAATATTCATGACCATAACCATAGCAACTTAGTTGCTTAGATTACGGATACGTAATAATATTTGATATACTGTATATATAGCACTTTTAATAACTGGACAATCTAGGAGGCCTAATAATGCTAGTTTTAAAATTAATACTTGCTACTTGCAATGTAATAACTAAGATACAAATAGATTACTTTTTATCATTAATAATTATTACAATCAATAAGCAATAAGCCTATGAATGCACAATTCACAACATTCTACAATTGTATTAATACTGTATGAACAATCCAAGCTACAGTTGCTCTGTTGTGATGTTTTTTTTATACACAACATGATTACAGAAATGGTCTTGCATGGGTGACTATATTGTAAAACCTGGTTACTAATATATATGAAATAGGTTGTTTCAGACCATTTTATAGCAATATTAAACAGTTTATTGGAAACCATGACATTCACACTTAATGTGCAAACACTTCACAGAGTAAAGGAGTGAGCGCAGGGAGGGAGAACTACACTATGTGGGCCTCCTCCACTGGAAACTTGCTGAGTATAATATAACCTTTTCTAGTTTTCCCTATTACTGTATTTCCTACATTACTAACTCTAGAAAAGATACTGCAGTCTTACTGAGTATTCCCAAGTCAAATGACAGTAATATCTTAAAAAGCAAGTAATAACAAAATAATAATACAATACTGGTGGTAACGATAATGCTGTGCATTCCACAATCAAATACAGAGTAAAACTCTTTATTTGTGACATTAATGTATTTCATACACATACACGCAGTGTTTGTTTTTCATTATTTCTACATACGTTCAATCAAGGAAGAAATACAAACATAATACACAAGCAACATAACAAATTTTACACAGAAAATGGACACTATAAATAAAAACACTAAGGTATTAGCATCTCTATGACAAACAGTATACCTCATATTGTTACAGTTGGAAGATTAGTAGCACACAAGCTATTTTATATTCAGTTGCTATAAAATTCTGAGGTAAATTTGGAAGTTTAATTTTGTGTAGAAATACAACCATGCTGTCTTATAGCAGAAAATACAGGTAAAATAGTAATAAAACAATACTTCTATGCACTTTGAATAATCAAGAAAGAAACATACCATAATTCACTGAAAAATTGTTATCAGCTTATGTCAGACATATTAGTGCACTGTATGCAAAACCCATCTATGGCTCTGTACTACCAAACTGTGGCCCAGACAATATCAGATTTTGTGTGGAATTTCGTTCTCAGTATTTTAAGACTGTATGACTGTTTGCAGAGGGGAAAAAATAAAAGGCAAAATTAAATGTTACAGGACCATGAACCTGTCGAAAAGTACAGTGATGGTTATGACCAAATTTTATATTCTTTTACAAATTACTTCTTTGTTACTTAATTGATTTTAATCATGAACAAGTAAATACAATCTTACTTTATTCAATAATAATCAAATTTAAAAACAAATTTTACTTCCAACTGATTTTATTCTATACAATATCTACTAAGCAAAATGAAATTCTTTTTTATTTTTTTCAAAACCAAGAAGACTGTGATGTAATTTAAGTACATCGGAAACATAAGAAACACAGCTTGGCTACAAATTGCATTTCATCTTATTTGCAAATAAAATTAAACACTGCAATTTTGTTACTGAAAAAATACCAAATCACTTTTTTTAAAATATTTAAGTACACTGAAAGTACAGATAACAACGCCAATAATCTATTATCACAACCCTGAAGTTCAGTGGCAGATTCAAACAATTTTCAAACTAAAAAAAAAAATGGTGAAAACAAAAAAGTATTTAAATTTAAGTCTGAGGAAAGTGCCATTTCCAGCCATCCAGAGGTGCCATCATAATTTTCTTACCTCAGCCCCAACAATGGTGGGCTGAGGTGCTCTACACCACCATTTGTGAAAGTGCCTCCTTGGGGGGGGGGCCCCATCTATTTAAAATTTCTGGATACTGAAGTAACGGTAACTGGTTCAAACGTTTAGTGGTCTCTTGAAGGTTGCTGGAGTGTCCTGAATATTAGGAGCAAGCAAAAATCTCCTAACCTCCCAGAATCCACGATGTTTGCATTTTTTGCAAATGAAAAAATATCTCCCTGAAATAAGCTGGTGACATGTATCGCAACGTGAATATTAATAAAATTTGATGAGAATAATAAAACTTATTTATCCTATAACATTGAGTGTTTCATGTAATCTACTGAAAAAAGTAAACCTTGTTTATAAAATACAATTCACAATCTGTGCGTAGGATGTAGAATACAGCGAATGACCAATTAAGCGCCGCAGGGCAAACAATTTTTGGAGGCTCTAGTGTGGCAGGTATTTGGGAGGGGTGCTTTCTACAAATTATTGAGAGTAGCATTTTCCAAGTTACCATAAATTATCTTGTAAAAATGGTATTATTCAGTCTGGTCTGAGAAATCAGTTGTTTAATAGCTTCCTGATGATCAAAGCATATTAGGTAATAGTACTCTCAAGTAGGCACCACACTGCTACATTCCGTAAATGAATATCTCATAAACATAGCACTGCCTTATATAGAATGGCTTTGTTTTCTTGAGGGCGGCCTTCATGCATGGCTTGCTGGATGGGGCGGATACAGGAATTGGCGGTAGGGGTGCGTGAGCGTCAACACCACCTCAGTATCACCATGGTTAGAGCTGAGGTGCGAAAATTTTGAGAAGATGGACCTCAAGATGACTGGAAATTGCATTCTCATACTTTCAAAAAATGTTACTATACTATATTCATAATGATAAAAATAATATATCAACAATACTATACAAAAACTAATTTTCTTAATATATTTTTTTTGGGGGGGGGGGGGAAGCGCTTGCACTGTCTGCACCCCACCCAACACCCCAGTCTTATTCAAGAGCAGTGCTTATTCAAGCATTTAAAGTGTCGCTGTTACATCCCTTCTTCGTTACTAAAGGATCTTGATTTGACTGAACTCCAGTGCAAAACATTTTACAAGAAGTCAACGACCGATCGGCATAGTAGTCAGGTTTGTAGATTATATAAGCAATGATACAAGTGAACGCGATAGTTGTCAAGCCTGCAACATTCCCTAAAATAGCTTCTGTGTTTAAAGTAGATCTGATGAAAAAAAGAAAAAACCTCAAACATACCATATGTTTAGATAGATATCACAATTGCATATTCCACAAAACACAGAGAAGCATGTTAACAAGAAAATCAAAAGATTAAACTTAGGTGCTGAGCAACTGAATGGTAATTTTCATGAGCACAGATTGAGATATTTCTCCTTCAATCAATCAATCTCAAGGAAAACATGTCCTAATGGGAAAATCAAACGGAAGAATACCAGCTTGGCTTTATTTGGCTTTATAGCAGTTGGTAGAGCAACAGGAGCTGCAATAGAGGGATTTGGCAATGGGCATCACATGACCTAACTTGGGTGTTGGATATAAACAGTCGCCTGGCACGGCGGTGTTTTACATGGAGATTGCTATTGCGGTTGTCCTTGTTATTGCTGTAAAGATCATCATTATTCCCAGTAAACTATACCAAATTGCTTGGAAATTAAACTTAAGAATTTTGCCTTAATGGTTTGCTAATGCTGTAAAAAATGCTGGCAGCAAACATTGAGATCTTTCGACAAATGTTAGGGTTAGGTCCCTGCACATCTACAGCACGGTAAGGTACGCATGATGGTCATTGACCCCCCCCCCCAAACAACGCTGCGATGTTAGGGCCAGCTATATGTTTATGAAGGATCAAGAAGAACACTAGGATAAGTAAATAAACACTATTTTGAACAATCATATTGCCTTTCCTAGCCATTTACCTCTGACATTAAAAATGGGTGGTTGTTTTCACAACCATAACATTATCTTTTCCTATGCTTTCGCACTGTAATGTTTTTCATGTATACCCAAGTTAGGTCACATGACCGCCTGTAAATAATCATTGCCAAATCCCTCTATTGAGGAGTCTTTGGTTAAAATCCAGATGAGAACAATACATCTTTTTCAAAACAACATTTACGTAGTAAAAGATGTGTAGGAAAATGAGATTATAACTTATCGACATGTTCGTAGGAATGGAATTTGAAGTTAGGATTGGTTACGATGAAAATGATGATGCAGATGAAGCCTATGCAGGCACTCCCTGCTACATTTCCCACAATGGCTGCTTTTGGAAACTCAGAGTAGTTCCTGAATAAAAAGATAATAATAAAAGCATTTATTTTATATCATGCCATATGTATCCAATAAAAGGCAACACTATGAAATTCCTGGAATTTTTTACATTATAGTATTTGTTTATTATTTATTTTATTTATTTATTTAAACAATCTTTAATGAGGGTGATCCATCCAGCCGAAGCTGATCATTAGGGACCCTCAATACAAATAGTAAGACAAAACAAAAGAGCGTATTAAACTAATTAAATTACAGTAAAATAAATAACAACCTCTCAATACAAAATTTACATAAAGAATTAATTCAAAATTAAATAAAAAACTT